AAACACATGAGGGCGATCTCATTCTGGAGGAGGGACACATGGAGGGGAGTCGCCGAGCTGGCTTGTAGCTGCTTGATGGCCACGGTCTCCGGGCAGCCCAGGCGCGTCATGACGCCGGTGCCGATGGCGCGCGCGGCGAAGACGCTGGCCTGGGTCCCGGACCCGAGCTCGCTCCGGGCAGCCCAGGCGCGTCATGACGCCGGTGCCGATGGCGCGCGCGGCGAAGACGCTGGCCTGGGTCCCGGACCCGAGCTCGCCCTCGCCGAGGGCCAGGAACTCGGTGGCCAGGGTCACCAGGGCGGCGCCGGGGAGCGAGAGCTCTGCGGGCGCCGGGGGCGGCTTGTCAGTGGGTGGTCGGCGGCGAGCGGGGAGAAAGAGGAGGAGGCATGGCGCAGGGGGGCAGCGCCGGGCGACGCACCGACAATCGTGTTGAGGACCGTGGCATCTGGGCAGAGGGGGGGGGGGAGCAAGATGGTTAGAAGCTGATCGCGATGCGCGGGCCAGGCGAGGGGCAAGATTCGCACTCTCATCGGGGACGTCCTGAGGCGGGGCAGAAGGATGTGTTAGGTCATTGGGCAGGGGGGGGGGGGCGAGGGCAGGCGTCGACACTGTCAGGAGCGCACGGAGTCCTTTGGCGCTCCCTGCCGGAAGCGCCGTAGCAGGCAGAGCGCCAGCAGCAAGAGCACCAGCAGAAGCAGCAGGCTGAGGCCGACGCCCAGGCCGACGGCTGCGAGGGCAAGTACGCGCGTGTAGATGTGCAAGTTAGGGGGGCAGGGGTAGAAAGAAGAAGGGGCGCCCAGGCACGCACCGAGATGCATCCGGCGCGAGGCCTCCGGGCTGTTGGTGAGGCAGTCGGTCTTGCCGGGGCCCATGCACGTGGCGCAGCTGGAGTGGCAGGGCCCGCAGACGGGGACCGCGGCCTCATGGTCGTCGAAGAAGCCGGCCGGGCAGGCCGACACGCACGAGGTGCCGTCCTCCAGCAGCAGGTAGGGCGCCTCGCACCGGAGGCAGGAGGGCACCGTCGGGCAGCTGAGCGCCCCGCCCGGGAGGATGGTGCATGCCGGCATGCCGCCACCGGGGGCGCAGGCCTCGCAGTGCCTCGAGCAGGCCAGGCAGACCTGCTCCCTCGGCGAGGGGGCCTGGCGCAGCGAGGGGCAGCCGGACGCGCACTCACCAGTGTCGGGCAGCAGCCAGTGAGCCCCATCGGCGCAGGACGTGCACCGGGAGGCGTGCTCGTGGCAGGTGGCGCACTCGGGGGCGCACGGCTGGCACAGGGCGGCGTCGGCGCTCGAGGCCGGCGGGCGG